GATTGGGTACTTGCCAACTAGTCAATAAATATCTAGTTATCTGCCTCTTATCTATCCTCTATAAAAACTAGAGGTTGTGTGATATATAGTACTCTAATTTACGTCTACCTAGTTACAGCAATCTTTGATCTTTGGACTGACCAAAGGTGAATTTATGTGCAAACCAAGGAACTTTGTAACCAATTCTGATTATTGTTTTTATAGAGAACTACAGCATGCATTGATTTCAGTTTTTATAAATAAATGAGACCACCATTAACTGAATAATTCCCAAGCGGTCATCGGTGACCACTCTCCACTAACACCATTATAGACCTTATTGCTGAGATGATTAGAGACTACTTTTGTATGAACAAAATTTGGGGATTTATATCAGGTATACAAGTTAATAACCAGGACTCTGTGAAAATATTTAGATGTAAGACAAACTTTTTGTCAGTAAATTTAATTAGTATATTATTCTAGAAGACCTTCTACATATTTGATGTGTATTTAAAAATAAACAGAAGTTATATGTATGTTTATTCATACATACATATAACTTAAATATAAGAAATTAAGGCCTAGATAGTGTAATGTATTGATATGAACTATTTTGAATTTAATAATGTTGATATATTGTATAAACAAATTTTTTCACACAAAAGTAGTCTCTAAACATCTCAGAAATAAGGTCTATAATGGTGTTAGTGGAGAGTGGTCACCGATGACCGCTTGGGAATTATTCAGTTAATGGTGGTCTCATTTATTTATAAAAACTGAAATCAATGTATGCTGTAGTTTTCTATAAAAACAATAATCAGAATTAAACTTTTTAGAAACAATTATAAACATAACAAATAATGTCTATAATGGTTAATAGAGAGTTGTCACCGGTGGTCACCGGCTTGGGCAAGCGGTTGCTTGGGGATTGAACAGTTTATTAGACTTCAAATATATTCCAGTTGAAATTAAAATTTACATAAACAGGGTCAATGACTACAATACAATGAAATAAATATAACTTTTCCACAATATCACACTTAACATGTTGTTTTTATTATAACCTGGGACTATATTTATCAGAATGTTGATAAATATTTGCTTTTTTATACCAGACACAGACACTGATAAAAATTAAATGGTATATAAAAACACTTCATTTAGGTACCATAGATTACATTTTCATCACATACATAAAATGGTCTCAAGTATTTATTTATATTTGCAAAAAACATTAACAAATATTAACACTGTTTTCATTTATTATTTGATATGTGTTACAGACAGTGTTACTTCAACTGTCTGAGATCCTTTGACCTTGAGTGCAAAGTTAAAAAGCAGAGTCCAAAGTCAACAACAATAATAAAGTATGAAAAAAATTAAGAAGTAATAACTTTTTTAGGAAAACCTGTTTATGGATGATAAATATTTTACTGCCACTCTAGTAAAATAGCAATACCTAAGTGGATCATAGCAGTTTGTAATTAACGGAGTTATAAATAAATAAATTTAAATAAGTATATTCATACCTTTGTCCTTGATTTCTTTCACAACAGCGTCAGCGAAGTTTGATTTTCCAACCCCATCGCGGGCACCACCGAGGTCGTTGACCACGACCTTAGCACCTCTTGACGCCAGGAGGAGGGCATAGGCCTTGCCAAGACCACCACCGGCTCCGGTCACCACCGCAACACGACCGTCAAAACGTAGCTGGTCCATCCTTCGCGACAAACGGAATGTAAATGAGAACGAAACCGACCAACACACAGTTACAACCCAGCGTAATTATCAATCTCAAAGTCCAACTTAACATTCGCTTTCGATAAACAAGTTATGTGCGTTCCACTTACAAGATAAAGTTTGATAATATTGATCATTCCCCGAGTTGTTGTTGTATCAACAGATTACATACCTTCTATCTCAAATTGCCCTGTAACTGTGACGCTAACGTGTGACGTTACAATATATTATGAAGAAAGAAATACGAAGTTTATTGTTATAAATTGCTCAATGCTCAATGAACAACCAGACCAGGCAAAACAAGTTTTGTTCAGTCAGATTGGTACGTCATTGTCAGTTGTCATTTTGACAGTCAGAATGTCAATGTCATGCATTCAAATTTTAAATGTCAGCCGTGTGGACGAGGTGATAATTGAAAATATTTTTTTAAGGGGTGAATATCATATCAGTCATCGAATGACTGCTCCCACCTGGATGAGGCGGGAGGGAGTGTCAGACTCTTACTGACTAAAAAACCACCCCGTTCCTTCTCGTTCGTTCGTTAAAGTTAGGGCCGGGATTAGTAGAGAGACAAACCACAAACAGGTTTTCACGCTATTGTCCTTTGGTGACCGGCACGAACTTCAGAGCTCTATATAATATTTATAAACACAATTTAAAATTCTACACTTACTTAATTCTAACATGATATAATTTTAGCAGGCCTTTGACCCCTGGCCCTACCCCTTAATTTGCATTTTATCCAGTACCTAATAAGGCGGCCAACCGTCCCGTATTCAGCGGGACCGTCCCGTAATGCTAGATGTAATCCCGCTTTGAAATAATTTTAAAAATAGTCCCGTATAACGTTAGATACGTCCCGCAAGTCCATTTCTTTTTTTCATTTAATACTACACGACACCAACACACGCGCACTAACAACAGCGCGAATAAATGAAGATCGGAAAAATCGTCACTAAAAGAGAAAACACTACGTGCTCTGCTTGTACTTAAATTTAATATGGGAAGTTGCGAAGAATTTTATGACATACCTACTCAATAAAAATTCTGAACTTATTATAAGTGTCACTCTAGAAATAAATACCCTTTTACCAGTTAAAATAACTTTTGTATATAAGTTTTATGTTTTTTTGTAATTGTTTCAGAAAGTTGGTCGCCTCATCCAGTAAGCCAATGTGCAAAGAATAGGTACAGCAAGAATTGGTTCTCCTGGATTATTATACTGACTATGTTCAGATCTCATCCCTATTAAACTGTCAAACACCAAGCGGTCACCGGTGACCGCAACCTATTGTTCTATAATTGTGTCTACAAAACCGGTACTCGACGAGTTAAAGAATATCCTTCGGACTAAAAAGGAAGATGTTTTCTCTTGAACTTACCAATAATAAAATGTTTTAATTAACTCGTCGAGTACCGTCATTATAGACACAATTATAGAACAATAGGTTGCGGTCACCGGTGACCGCTTGGTGTTTGACAGTTTAAAGGGTTAATTTTTTAGTCAAAACTAATAAACTCCTCCTTTAAAAGAGAACTAAGTATCCATTTTATGGAACTATACCTCCTTGCAACTCCTTGATAAAAGTCTGAATAATAAAATCTTTGAAATAGAATAGTACATAGAGAAGAGGGCAGAGGGCATAGACCATAGAGTAACTTCAAAACAAACGTCAACTGGCAACGACATTTTGATTCAAAAGTTGTGCGGTCTTCTGTTGTTTACTTTGATGTGATATGAAATAAATATTAAACAATAATGGCTATGTATCGATCAGAGCCTGCTTGGCAGAGAGAAAATAATTCAATCTCAAAAAATATCGTCACAGGCGATCCCTTGGCTGGTAAGACGAAATAGTTTTTTTGTTTACAAATATTACCATATTTGAGATTTTCCTCTAAATTTTAAAGTGATATTTTTGTAGCTATTTACAATGAAGGTATATGGCGACTAAGCAAAGTATCACCGTTATACAACTTGCAGTACAATACAGTGAAACTCAAACAATATGCGTCCAAAATCAGACAAGCTCTTGTGAGTGCAATGCCAGCTAATTCGTCAACCAAGTATGTCGTTCAAATTGAAGAACAAGTTAATTTAAAGTATTCAGAAGAAGATCCTAGTGCACTGATTGTGAGTATTCTTTATAATGATAACTACATTTGATTGATTTGTGTACATGCAATAGTAGAATAGTATTATACATCCAACCTATGGTAAAATGACTACGACAAGAAATGCTAGCCAGCTTATGTTTGTTATAAAGAAATAAACTCATCCCCTCATCTCATACATGAGAATCATGATAATAACTGCTTAAACTGTCAAACACCAAGCGGTCACCGGTGACCGCAACCTATTGTTCTATAATTGTGTCTACAAAACCGGTACTGGACGAGTTAAAAGGAATTGTTATTATTTTATTGTCTATTCATTTTATTTTTTAGATCAATGTGTTGTCATCATCACAAGACAAGAATAATAAAAGTAAGGTGTCCTATGCAGCCATTCTCCTGTCTTGGGGTATAAATATATCAGTGGGCACCGCCACTCACTTACCTTACATGTTAGAGCGAGGTGAACAAAGAATTAGCACCGCTGTGAAGTCTACATTACAGACTATTTTTGACTGCCAGATAAAACAATTTAGTTTTACACAGGTATTTTTTCTCTTATTCTCTATCTCTCTCTATAACTCAAAAATATGTGTTGTAACATCTTTACTAAAATTTTAAATTCAAAGATGTCATTGTTGAGTATGATTTTGTTAGATGGGGGGTGGGAATTGATGTAGTCTACATTGTAGACTATTTGGAAGCTAAATCATTACTGTAGCTGTGTAGCCATGCCTGAAAGTGAATAGGACTAAGTTCAATATTTTGGCTTGTATTTGGGTATTTCAACAGTTATTCAGTAAAAATAATATCTTGTTTTTCATTTTCAGCAACAACTATTGTATTTAGGGTTCAACTTTGTTGAAAGTGACTCATCTCGTAGCACAGACCCATTTACATTGACATACAAGACACCACAAGTTGACCACAAAGACAAGTTGAATCTATCATTTGAAGTTGGAGACATCCAGATCATATGCAATGGGTGAGTTGAATTTTATAATGGTTTGGCTTCTAGCTACTCTTTTCTTCACATTCATTTCTACTCATTTAGAAGCCATAATTATTATGACCTTTCTACACAAAGTTATCAAATTTTGCTAAATAAATGATTAAAACCTCTTTAAAGTACAAATACAACAATTACTTTTCAGGGTCAAAGATGAAGTTACACAGAAATCCGATCTAGTGACATCAGTATACCAAATTCTGCAGAACCAAATATTTGAGTCAAGCCTCATAGATATTACTACTTTTGATCTGTGTGAGGTGTCAATGCCCAGAGCAGAAGTAAAGAACAGTGGCGCAGTGAAAATGAAGACGCCAGAGATCGTCAACTGTGTGTTTACTGTCCTCAATGACATCAGCCATGATATGTACTCGGAGAGAGATTCCGGCAATGCATCTGCATCCGATTCATAGCATTAATAAAATGTGTTACGATAGTGTTGTTTGTTTCAAAAACAGTTTTACGTTACATTTGTTATCAGGGTTAGTAATAATAATAACTAGTGAAGTCAGTCACATGTCACGGGGTTAAATAAATAAACAACAACATTGTTTTTCAACATTTACTCTCATGAATTACACCTTACAAATGTGTCTGCATATTGTAACCTTACAAAATATTATATCATTACAATGTGCTAAACTTAAAAATAACCTATTTTGTAATCATGTCTTTCAGTACCTTGCAAGCAGTCCTTTTATAAGAATTACAATTTCAACACTTCAAAACCATTCCAAAATTGGTATCTTGTGCATAACTATTTATACTAGGCCACCACCTAAAAGCATACTTGGTACTTTGATCTAAACAGCTGACAAATTGGTCTCCATTCTTCGATGCAAGGTATAGAAGGTACCAGAAATCAATCACAATTTAATGAATTTTAAAACTATACAATGTGTACACCACAGTTCACTTTACAGGATTAATTTTCCAGTTTGTACAGTTGAATGTTCATAAATTAAAATGTTGACATAAATAAAAATATTCCATTTACTAATATTTCAATATATTATGTACCTAAATATATAATGTAATGTACCTGTTAGATATTGTAGCTAACGCTACAAAATATAATACAAGTTTAAAATGTTACGCGACGCATACTTTGGCGAACATTCAGTCGCATCCAAATGACGATGACACATATCCACACTCCAGACAATTTCCTATATTGGTGCAGAATTTCATCCATCGAGTACCAATATACTCGGCCAATCCGTTAAAACCTCTGAAAAAGTGCCAATATAGGTGATTGTACAAAGAAGGCATTATACATAGATGCCTTGCACAAACACATTCGGCCAACACGACGATCACGAGATGATATACAACATATAACACGATCTTTTTAAATAAATGCCAGATTACGAGATATTTGTGAAACTTTCTATGACATATGCAAATAAAATATACACAGTTACATACACACAAAATTACATAAAAGCTTATTCGTATGAAGGATCTATTATTATGAATTACATACGACTATTTAATTTCTCACATCTGGTCCATTCAGCGTAACCTTTATCTGCCGTCTGTACTCGTTCGAATAAAACTTATGTATATGGTACTACAGATGAATATAAATTGTGAGATTAGATTTATTTACCATCATGTCTAGGGGTCCTAACAGTTATTGTAAAAAGGGATTGAGAAACGAATTGGATGCTAGAGTTCGATCTGCCTGCATTGTTGTTCATTTATTCAAGGGTCTGATTTCGACTTATTATGATGGTAATATTTTAAGGTAATTGAATATTTCTACTAAGTATAAAGGTGCCATATCGGCGTAATATATTATAACGCGAGTCAGACGCAAGCTATCTGTAGCATATATAAAATAATTCTATGAATCCGGCATGCAGTAAGTTTCGTACCAATTTTCGTTGCACACAGCTGCACCTCCTCCTGGAAAATAAGATTTTAATCAATACATCATAAACATTATGTTTTTATCATTTTGGAAAAGAACGAAAACTGTTCAAACTGCTGGATGTTATACAGCAACTGCAACCGAAACTATCACTAAAAAAACCGAATTAACTTGTTGAGTACGTCATTATAGACACAATTATAGAACAATAGGTTGCGGTCACCGGTGACCGCTTGGTGTATGACAGTTTAAGATAGGCCCAACTGTCCAAGTGATGATGGATGCCACAAAGACTTGGGTATAGAATCT